CCTTAACTATTCTATGATTCTATAATACTGTTGCCCCAGGCACTGCAAGTTTCCCATAGTTACCTGAAGTAATCTTACCTTTCCAAGTATGGAGTGGTAGGTGGATTGCATCTTACTGTAGAAGATGTGTCCTTCTCAGGAGAATTAACTACTTGGACTATATCTTTTACGCCATCCTCATGCTTCTCTTCTGCTTCACATTTTCCTTTCTTTCTTGTACGTTCTTTAGTCTTGTGCTTTTTATTCTTTTTCGGCAAGATCTCTTCTATTGGTTTCAAGTCTGAATCCACTTCTTTTTTGTTCACTTCACTGCTAATCTCTGCCTTCTTGTCATCACTCTCTGCTTTTTGGTCATCATCAGAGCAGATATCCTTGGAGGCCTCCTGAACCTGCTCTACAGATGGATTTGGTTCCTTGCTGACTTCCACTACCTCGCTTAAATGAGTGTCTATCACAGTTCTCCCTGAAATTGAGATATTGAGGAAAGTACAGCTGTGATTATTTACAACTAAAGAGAAATTAATATTTTAGAGATCTATGAAATCTTAAGGCTTTACATGAGAATGAAAGTTAAGTATGCTTTGAGTCTGAGCCACAGCAATATAAGTTACTAATAATGCAACCTGAAAACTCGAGCTAAGTATATCGTGATGACTCATTTTCAGCACAGCAGGTCTGAACAAGCATTTCAGTCTCTGGTATCAAATGCTTGTCAGGTTATGTTATATTCAACAGGAATGTATACAGCTACTTTGCTTCCAAAAATCAGTATACCACCTTTAATTGACCCTATGCCATAACACAACCATGCATCTGCTAGTGAAGTTTGTGTCAAAGCAGCAACTGATATTTAATTCACGAAAATGTTTTATTTACTTTGTGATTATCAGGCTAAGATAGCCAGACAACATTGCTTTGATAGAATTTAAGTAGAAAGTTTGAATATGAAAGCATCTCTGACACTTTCTAACATGCCCACTATTGAAAAGAATTAGTCAATGTTGTTTTCAAAGACAATTGAGTAAGAAGTATCACAGAGGAGCTTCCATGAAATAGAATTTACTATAAGCACAAACAGTTTGAACAGCTTGTATTACCTGTCATGCCAAACATTTAACTAGAATAGAGTATTTGGACTTACCATCCTCAGACTTAAAAAGGCTTCCAAAATTTTTCATAGTATCTATTAGTGTGTTTCGCAGTTCATCTTTAGGCTGGAAAAAAAGCGGTATTGTTTTAGGAAAAAAACTCCAAAATTAATTATCATTTGAGCTTATTTGGTGTAACAGGTATTGCAGGGAAGGTGGTATAGACCGTATGATATTCATGTTATAAACCCTTATTTAATGCTGTTTAGACCTAAGTTGGAACACAAGTGATTCCTGTTTTTCCTGTATTTGGGTACACTATGGCTGTATTTGATGCCCTGAAATCTTGCTGCTAATAAAGTGTAGAATTAAGCCCATCAATAAATGTAAAATTAAGTTCTGTTTTGGGTTTCTAGTGATACTACAACTCTCAGTCCTTACTTTCTTCTAGGTCATGTGGTATTTTGATGATCCTAAACCTTTCTCCTTGAAAGTAGTAAGCATGTGTGGCAGTTACAGAGCAAACCAAATCTAGTTTTTCATGTTCAACTAAGTCACATGGCTCTCGTACTATGAAAGAGATTTACTAAAATCAGAAGTAGCTATATTTTATATACTACACTTTTATGTATTTATATTTGTTAATCTCAAAGTTCAAGACAAGCTGCTCACCACTGCTCCTGCCAAAATGGCCTCCTCATAGACAGCAATAAGCTTTTCAAGAGGGCCCATCTGTTCAAGACGCATACAGCAGATCCAATATTTTGCAAGCTTTTTAGCCTCAGGAACGCTCTGTATCAGACCTTCCAGCATGGCACGGACTTCATCTCCTTGACATTCCTAAAGTCAACACAAGAGCAGAAATTTGAATGCAGTAAACGTTTTGAAGTGCTCTATTTTAGCTGGTTTTAAACTAGAAAACAAGCATTTTTTTCTTTCTTTGGCAGAAGAATTGTCATTCACCAATTCTTCCAAATGAGAATTATTTATACAGTATTGTAAGTAGAAGGGATGGTAGAATGCATAGACATCTTCAGAACTACTTAAGCCAGACTTTTTCAGAAGTCCAGGCAAATTTCTGCAAATGAAAACTTGTTTTAGATTAATTACTTCATAGCTACTCTCATATTACAGCTTTTCTACTTTGTTATGTTACCATTATTACCTGATCTTACTGGGTAGTTCAGTAAGTTACTGAAGCTTACATGAGAACTAATGTCTTCAGGTGTCAGCAATAAGCTATGATATTGCTTAACTTGGGGAACAGTTAGTTCCCTGCATCTGATTCAGAGGCCCAGCATGCTCATAGGACTTACATGATTGGAACTTGGTAGGCAAGAGACTGAATACCTGTTCAGTTAACTGCAGACATTCTGCAAGAGTCTTGTTGACCTTTTCATTGTGTAATATGTGCTCTAAAGAATCAACAGATTCTTCGCCTTTAGACTGGGGTCCCAGAAGCAGAGATATAGGAGGTCTCCTCATCACTTTTCCTCTAGATGCCCTCCATTCATCCAGGCGAGCTCTGCATGTAATGATATTATTAGCTGAAGTGACAGATAATTTATCATTTTTTACATTGACTGACACTAACTAGAATTAAGTCATATAAAGATATACTTTCCAGGTAGTCCTTGAGGCCTCTCCCTTTAATCCTAAAAGGAATACAGCTGCCATTTAGACCTGCATGGAAATTTCAGAACCATGCATATTGCTATCTGCTTTAGGTATCTATCAGGTCAGAACATTTTAACGTCTCTCTCTTTCCAGCAGCAACAAGAGACTTGGGTTACAGACCTTTTTCCTCAAGAGAGGATAAAAAAAATTGCTTCCGATTTATTCATCTGTGCCACCTCTCCTCCCTAATCCCACTTCAAACCAGAAAACCTCAAAACTATCTCTAAAGAGACAAAAGCATGGGGAGCCCAGAACAACCTCCTCACACAGCTTTTAAACAGTTAAACTGATGTATAAATGTAATTTGGTCTTCATATATATTTCAGCTCCATCCCTCTAGACCAATTTTTAGTAAATGCAACTTTCTACAAGGAGGTCTATTAGATTAATTTTAGATTATGAATCTTCACCCCATCATCTAAGATGCATTCACCAAGCTGAAACATGTCATTGCCAAGTGCTCTCCCTCAGTCCCTAAACATACTCAATATACATTTTCTATTTATAACCACACAGGACAAGCTGTAAGCCTGAAGAGCTGCTGCAATAAGTTTGAGTCCCCATTTCTCAATACTAAATCTACAGTTCTAGTTTGCTGCCCTTTGGGCATCAAGTTCTCTTATTTTTCAGTGCATTTACAGCAAGAAACAGATCAAAATAGATATTCTTGGAAGAAAAGTCTAGATACCTCCCAAGATCAAGCTATAACAGTAACTGTTACCTTCTCTCTTCTGCTAACTCTTTTGACATAACAGATTTTCTGTTGCCATTAGTTTTAGAATTCTGTTCCAACTTTGTACCAGGAACAACAGAAACTGGTTTTGCTGGAACTCCTGGTCTTGCATCTTCACAGCAATCTCCACCGTTCTTCACTCCTAGTACTCCACGGTCAGAACTGTTAGAAGCAGACTTCAGTGGCTGTGGCCCCCTTCCACCATTCATTTTTTGGACTGTTACTTTCTTTGGCACTACAGATGTCAGTTGCCTTTTCTTCAGATCAGACTGCGAGTTTACAGCAGCTTTATCAGATGGTTTGCTCTGGACAGGGAGGACACCATTCGGTTTTACAGAATTACGGTTATTTGTGGCTTTGACGGTCTTCAGAGCTGCACTACAGCTGCTCATGGACAAAGAACTTGCTGCTGGTTTGGTGGCAGAAGGAAGAAGCTCTTTCCCACCTCACTTTTTGGTGCTTTTCGGAAGGAGTTTATCTTGGACTGGATAACTTTGCCACGATACGTACCAAGCACTGGTTTCTTTGGTAGGCTAACACTTGAACTTTGTTTTTCTGCCATCAGTCGTTTCTCTTTTATGCTTTTTATTTGCAAGAAGCACTTGGTAAGTGACACATGCTGAGATTTTATTTCACTAACTTCAGACTTTGAAGCATGGTTTTCAGGAATATTGTTTGTCCCTAGTTTAGAATTTGTCAGTGTGACTGTGGAAGAGTTTAAAATAACATTTTTTTCTGAGGGTCCACTTGACTGGTCCCATGACAGTTCATTAGCATTCTCTTTATTTTCCTGAAATCAAAAGCATATCCATGGAGATGTTAGAAGTACATTCATGTTGCATGTTATTTTTTTCCAAAGAGGTTTTCACTCATTTACAGGACTAAAGGGATTAACTGTAAACATCACTTCAAAAGTGTCTACAAAAGTAGCGTATATATACTGAGTAGAATATTTCTCAGCTATTATTATAGAATTCACATTAAAAAAAAAGAAATTAAATAAGGGTTGTTTAAACTCTGCCTTGAAAGTAAGAAGGCCTAACCTGAGGGCTTCATTCTTCCTATAGAAACAAAACTCTAAGTGGCTACTGTCTTTTAACTGTCAAAATCACCTTCTAAGAGTTGTCAAAGTAGAAACTTGCTTTGGGCTGTATATAGTCAAAAGCAGTATCTCAGTCTGCATAGCCCACCATTTAACAGCAGCACCACTCCACCGCTTAGTGTGGACAGCTTTATAAATAAGGTGTGTATGTATGTGTGTATATATATATAAGGCATTAGGATATGTTACCAGAAGAGGAAGAAATTTTCTTACTAATGAGCTGTAGGATGCAGTACTTATGAATAGACACATGAATTTTATATGCCCTTACTACTCCCCGAAACTCTCAACTGTATGTTCTTAGCACAACCCTTGCCCAGAGGCCATGAGAAGTGGAACCTTGCCTTTTCCTCTAAAGAGGATGCTCTACAGCAACCAATTCAGCATTGTCCAAGCAACAGCTTATAGAAGACTGAAAGATCCCAAAGCATGAAAAAAAAAATAAATATGACACATGGAAGTCTGCAAAACCTGATACTATTCTCCTTCAAGGAAGATGCCCTTAAACCATAAGGAAAGTACACCACATCTCATTTCCTGGTCTGTCATTTAGGTGTAGAAGTTAGATTTGACTAAGCCAATAACTAGAGCTGTTATTTCAGGACATGTGTACAAGAGCTGTTATTTCAGGAAGCGATGTAGTTTAACTCAACTTAAAAATCACATGAGACATTAAAAGAGACCAAAGTATCCCCCTAAAGGAAACCTTTAAAAAATCCTTTGAAATAAAGTTTTCTGCTTTCTTCCTCATGTAACTCCAGGTCTCAAATCTTTTGGAACCCAAACTCAAACCCATCTAACATGAACATAGGTTTTGTGCCCTTTTATTTTTTCCTCTCTCTCCTTTAAGTTAAGATACAACCATGTGTATCTTAATTCTGGAAAAGTGACACAGAATGATAAAGGGAAAACATTCCCTTCGACTCTGATTAGGTATTAGCATCTACTTCTGATTACATTACATTCACCAGCATCACAGCTGAACCACCACACACTTAACAGTTTTGTTAGGTTGCGCCTTCACCCCCCAAGTAACAGAGTACCACAGAAGAATTCTCTACTCTGACAGAAAACCTTGTTCAGCTTTTAAATAACTTCCTCAAAGACCGAAGATACATTCACAAAAGTTCTGAGTCTCAAGAAAAGTTGTTAAAATTTAGTCATATTTCAGCAATAATGGTATCCTCTTTAAAACCTCTCCAGCCAGGTATAAACTGAATATCAATATGATCCATTACATACAGTAACATGACAGCTCTCCAAAAAGCATTAATAAGCAGTCATTTAATAAAGTTTTAACAAACTGCACCTCTGCACCTGCAAACTATGCTCTGGAAATCATATAACCCAAACACAGTTTAAGCAAGAGGAATGATGTAGCCAGAGAAACAAAGTGCCATCAGTATTGGAATATCAGTCCAAAACTTACCATTTCTGTCTTTGGAGATATTAAGAGCTGTATTTTATCTTGCAGTTTATTGCTAGTTGCTCTCCTTGTTCTGCTACTGCTTAGGGGAAAAACAAACAAAACAAAACAGAACTAAGACATCTTAAATCATCCCACAGTGTAACGAAGGAATTTATCTTCAGAGTGAGTTCACATGGTCCAGGCGGCAGTCTGCAGGCTGAAATCATATTGAGCATTTCTGTTCAGCTTGTACTCTTCCTTCAGAAGGAAAAAAAAAATGCTTAAGCAGTCACTGATCAGAGCCCAGGCTGAAAACCATCCCTTCTTACACCAATAAAGAGCTGGCTAACAGAAGGAAAGAAAAGAGAACAGAATTTACTGCAGGTGTCATTCTCATGTTTAAGGATGAACACCAACCTGTCTGGCCTGATTCATCTGCTAGATAAGGTCAAGTTTCTAAATGCTGCAGTTGAGGGGGAAGGAGGAACAGCACAAGGAGTTGAAGCTCAGCTACTGCAGTCATCAGAAGCCAGGCCATTTGAGGCAAGTCTGAACAAGGATATGTAGTTCCTACCACACTGTCAGGTTCCAAAACCTAGTCAGGCACCAGAGCTGGCACCAGACTACACGGTGAGTAACAGAACCACCAAGACCAGTATCGTCTCCTAGCAACTATGAAAATGTATTGACAGCTCAGAAGAAAAACAACTCAGTTTAAAGTTACAAATCCATGTTTTTCCTCAAATGCTTCATGATTCATTATATGAAACGTGACTGAAAATTAACATTTCAGTTAGCAACTGATATCTTTCCATCAGATCATCTGGAAGCCAGCCGAGTTGAACATGAAGGTACATTAGTGAAAATAATCAGTGACCCTGAAATGCTGCAAAAAGCAGTTTGCATACCATGTCACCAGTGATAGAGAATACATGTTACAGGAACTGACCAGAAGTTACAGAATCATAGAATTGTTTAGGTTGGAAAAGACCTTTAAAGTCATTGAGTCCAACTGCTATCCCAGCACTGCCAAGTCCACCACTAAACCATGTCCCTAAGCACCACATCTACACATCTTTTAAATACCTCCAGGGATGGTGACTCAACTGCTTCTCTGGGCAGCCTGTTCCAGTGCTTGACAACCCTTTTGGTGAAGACATTTTTCATAATATCCAATCTGAACCTCCCCTGGTACAACCTGAGGCAGCTTCCTCTCATACTAGTACTTGTTATAGAAGCAAACAGCAAAGTGACATCTGAAGGAAGAGCTCTGCAAATAAAAACTGTCTGTCTTCAGAGGAACAGATGATATACTTCATGAATTGCATCTATTATGCATTTGGTTAAAAACTTTCAGTATTTGCTAACAACAAAAGGACTTGAGGAAATCCACGCGGTCACCAGTCTCATTGCATGATCTCATCTTTTGGCTGAGGTTCTCCGCAAGAACTATTTGTGTCTTTCCCACCAGCCATGGACCTTTTTAAAGGAATGTAAGCTATAGCAGAAGTACTACCTGATGGATGCTTCGTTTTCTTGAATGGGCACACCAGAAAAGGTCTTTTTTCTTGATAGATATTCTTCAACCTTTTGACGTCTTTGTTCTAGTGGGTTAAAAAAAAAATAAAGATTTACTACATTTTCATTTAAATTAGTAATACCAAACTTTGTCTCTTAGAAAAAAGGAAATGCAATTAGAAAAACATAAAGAAATTACGAAACATAGACACTGTGGATTAAGAAAGTTTAATGTTCACATCTTATCATGTCCAACACATTCTCTCATTTCTTGAGAAAGGCTATTCAAGGGGTGGATGGATGTAATTTCACAGCTATAGGAGGTGGCTGGTTTGCTGCATTAAGCTAAAAGAAACCCAGTTTTGTGATGGGAAGTTCAGGCTCACTCTTCTACCTTCTGGATGCCTGACCAGTATTTCACACATTGTTGATTCAGCAAGCACACTTTACTTGTATAACACACATGAAAAACACCACACACATGAACCTAAATGACCGTCTGCAAAGTCATTTGCTTCTTGTCCATGGTGATCTTGGCACCTGCACAAATGTTGGACCAACGGCAGCGTTAGTAACAGCAGGAAATGATACTGAAAAGGCCTGAAGCCAGCTGTCACTGTCTTGATACAGAGAGCGATTCCAGAACAGGATACTTTCTTATGTTTTCACTGGCTGATTGCACACTACAGACTTATACCTTTCATAAGGCTATACCATTGATCTTTTTCAGAGAACATTCCTTATTCCTGTAGGGAGTTAGTGACCTTGGCTTGCTGGAAGCAGCTGGGATAAGATGGCCGTGCGACCCAAAGCAAGCTCAAACATTTGCAGGGCCAGTCTAGACAGTCAGAACTCCAAATCTTAACAGTTTCACATGCAGTAGGATGTGACAGCAAGAAGTTGGACCATCATCTTTGACTCAGAACAATAATGCCTTTGTTGTATTCGGGAACTCATGGCATTGCACCATCCCCCAACATCGAAAGGCTCATTCAGCCATGGAAGTCTTCAATGATCTTACGTATAAACCCCGACTTCTGCCCCTCGTAGGCAAGCAGAAGTCGCCATTTGAATCCCTTTGTGTTCATTCTCTTTCATGTTTTGTCCAAGCCCATGCTGCATGAAGCCCGGGAAGCTGCATGCATGACCTGCTTCTGAAAAGGGGCACATCATCGGGGTACCTGCTAAGAGATGCTGCACAGCAGCAAGCTCAGTGTGCATCCTAGAGCCTCCCAGGCACCTTCTGCGTCTGAAATTCAAGTCTCGCCGACTCCAAACAGCAAAGCCCCATCAAAGCAATTAAACTTGTTGAACGTGATGAAACCAAACCGGTCAGAAAATAGCAGACTGTATGACTGCAGGTGTATGTCAGAGCATTCGCTTGTTGCCATAGGATGCTCTTAGATTAAGACGTGTTTTTTACCGTGAAGAAAGGCTTTCGCTCCAGAAGCCCTGCCTGGGGGCGCGCACCGGCCCCAGCCCTGCAGGGGAGGGTGAGGCCTCACAGCCTCGCTCGCAACG